GATTGGGTACAAATACAACCCTAGAAACCTGTACCCCATATGTGCTACCCCAGTATAGCATACAGCAACTATGTCATATAAATCTGACAACGAGTTGTCGCCGCGGGAGCTGACGTGTACGCAGTAGATATAGCATTAGTAGGAGAAGAAGAGCAGCCGAGCGATTTTCAGAAACTGTTGGCAGCAGTACCGCCCGAACTTCAAGAACTGTTGAAACGGTACTCGGGGATTTTTCCCGACGACTTACCGCAAGGGCTGCCACCTCAGCGGGCACACGACCATAGGATCGAGTTAGAAACGGGGGCACAGCCAACTGTACAGCGCCAATTCAGACTGACACAGCCCGAGCTCGAGGAACTAAGGAAGCAGTTAGATTACCTGTTAGAGAAGCAGTTCATCGGACCGAGCTCGTCACCATTCGCCGCACCGATACTGTTCACACCGAAAAAAGACGGAGGCTTTCGCATGTGCATTGATTATCGATCGCTCAACAGGGTAACAATCAAATCGCGGTACCCCATCCCCCGCGCCGACGAACTGATCGACCAGCTGCGAACAGCACGGGTATTTTCGAAAATTGACTTACGGGGGGGTTACCATCAGATTCGGGTCGAACCATCGGACTGCGCCAAGACAGCATTTAGAACTAGGTACGGGTCATTCGAGTACATGGTGATGCCCTTCGGACTGACCAACGCATCCGCAACATTTCAGATGACCATGAACGAGGTGTTTAGGCCACTTTTAGATAAATGCGTGATAGTATACCTCGACGACATCCTCGTTTACAGTCGCGACCGGCAGCAGCACTTAGTCGATCTCGAAGCGGTTTTTAAACTTTTAGCGGAACATCGATTACTCACCAAGGGCTCCAAGTGCGAGTTTTTTCGGGACAGGCTAGAATTTTTAGGACACGTTATTTCGGAGGCTGGGGTTGAAATCGACCCAAAAAAGCTGGATACTGTCAAAGCGTGGCGTCCCCCGACGAATATCATGGAACTGCAGAGTTTTTTAGGGTTCGTTAATTACGTCTGTCGGTTCGTCCCCGACATGGCGCACTTAACAGCCCCGCTCACGGATTTACTGCGTAAGGGAGTCGCTTTTACGTGGGGGGAGAAAGAGCATGCTGCCTTCTCTGCCCTGAAAGATGTTCTCTGTTCACCTCCCGTCCTACGCATCGCTGACCCACACCGCCCTTTCGAAGTGGTTACAGACGCGAGTGACATCGCCATCGGAGCAGTACTGTTACAGGACTTCGGCAACGGCCTCCAACCCATCGCCTACGAATCACGCAAGCTACATCCACCTGAGCGAAATTACCCGATACACGACCGCGAAATGCTCGCGATCGTGCATGCCTTCAAAGTTTGGCGCTGCTACTTGACCGGCGCAGACGTGACAGTACGGACAGACCACCGATCCCTACAGTACCTCCGTGCACAGCCCCACCTCAACCCACGACAGATTCGGTGGCTCGATTTCCTCGAGTCGAATTTTCACTATACGGTCACCTACAAAAAAGGGGCCTCCAATATCGCCGACGCACTGACCCGCCCCACTGCCCAGATCCATGCGATACTACTCGCCCAGACCAGCCCGCTACTGACAGGACTATTTGTCAGAATGTTATCTTATGTTCTAGCCTGTAGTGGGGAGCTCTATAGCGAGTACAACCCTTCTAGGGTTTGCTATTTGTATCCCCATTTCTGCTAGTTCAACCCTCTTTTCTTTCTCTTTCTTTCTTCTAATTTTGTCATGCTATCAGAGCAGGTCGATCCCTTTGGATCGATCCTGTGGGTGGGTTACCACCTCCACGCTTCCGCTACAACTTTTTCTTCCCGCCGTGTGCCCCGAGGCGCGCGGCGGTTTTCTGCCCGCCGTGCGCCCCGAGGCGCGCGGCGGTTCTCTGCCCGCTGTGCGCCCCGAGGCGCGCGGCGGGCTTCTGCCCCGTCGTTCGTCGCGTACCCCTCTGGAGGCGTCGCGACGGGCGACGGGGACCCGTCGCGGCCCCGCCGCCCCACTCTCGCGGCCCCGCCGCTTTCCTTCGTGGCCCCGCCACCTTCGGTCGCGGCCCCGCCACCGCCTCCGGTCGCGGCCGCGCCACTTTCTGTCGCGGCCCCGCCACCGACCTGTCGCGGCCCCGCCGCCCCACCATCGCGGCCCCGCCACCGACCTGTCGCGGCCCCGCCACCTTCGGTCGCGGCCGCGCCACCTTCTGTCGCGGCCCCGCCACCGACCTGTCGCGGCCCCGCCGCCCCATCATCGCGGCCCCGCCGCTTTCCTTCGCGGCCCGTCGCCCTACCCGTCGCAGCCCCGGCCCCCCCCCCCCCACCCCCCCTCCCCCCCCCCTTTTCCCGTCGCCTGTCGAGGCGACCTGAGGGGGCCGCTTGCTGTGGGGTGGCGGGTATGGGGGTGGCAGTTGTGCCTTCCTCCCTTTGCTCCTCCTCCTCCTTCGTCTCCCACTGCTGCAGCTGTCGCTGAGGGGGGTGGCTGTGTGGGAGACTGGGGTTTAGGGTTTAAGGGGGGTGCGTGGGAGTGGAGCTAGGGGTGTAGCAGCGGGTGTGTATCAGGGGGGTGGGACTGTTTGCGGGAGGTTGAGTGGAGGCTGCCAGCTTGTTGTCCGCAACACCTGTAGTCCGGGGCGTTGTCCCGGTAGCCCAGTGAGCTTGTCGCTGCGCCAGTCGCCTGTGGGTCCGTAGCTCCTGCCGCTCGTCTTAGCCGCGGAGCCAGTTACTCCTGTAGTCCGGCCGCTTAGTCCGGTAGCCACTGTGCTCGCCACTCCTGTTGCCCGTGTGTCTGCAGCTTCAGCCGCCGCCTTCTATCTCCTCTCCTCTCACTCTCCCTCCTCCTCCTCACTTGCCCGTTGTGACTACCACTAGCTTTGCTCATAATTGTGAACTCTAAACTATTGCTTCTTGAACTTGTGCTCAGAATGTGTGGTGACATTGTGATCCACCCTGAGCTTGTACTGCTTTGCTTGCTCTGCTGATTACACCCCACTTTGGCTATGGGGGTGTGTCAGAATGTTATCTTATGTTCTAGCCTGTAGTGGGGTGCTCTATAGCGAGTACAACCCTTCTAGGGTTTGCTATTTGTATCCCCATTTCTGCTAGTTCAACCCTCTTTTCTTTCTCTTTCTTTCTTCTAATTTTGTCACTATTTACCCACGGATATCAAACAGACCCATTCTTCACAGGAGGGAACTCGCAGCAATTCGCAGCAGCCAAGGGAGTCTATTACGTAAAAGCTGGAACCGACCGCATCTGGGTACCAGGGTACACACTGCTACGGGAATTACTGTTACAGGAGGCACACGACGGAGTTACGTCGGGACATTTCGGGGTAGAAAAAACACGGCAGCAGCTGCAGCGGTACTATTACTGGCCTGAAATGTTGACCGACGTGCAACGACATGTGGCGTCGTGTCCCACTTGCCAGATCATGAAGTCAACCAGGAAGCGGCCGGCGGGACAATTGCAGCCGATCCCACCCCCAGAGCGTGCTTGGCAGTAAGTGACGATGGACTTCGTCACGGGGTTACCGGCCGGGGCGAGTGGGAATGATGCGATTCTGGTCGTCGTCGATCGACTGACGAAAATGGCACACTTCGCAGCCTGCAAGAAATCAATCACAGCCGAGGAAACAGCCCGCCTCTTCATCTCGACCGTCGTTCGACTACACGGGATACCAGCATCGATCATCAGCGATAGAGACACGAAGTTTACCAGCAACTTCTGGCGGAACCTGTGGCAGCAATTCGGCATGCGACTGCAATTCAGTTCATCGTATCACCCCGAAACCGACGGACAGACGGAACGGACAAACCAAACCATGGAGCAGCTCATTAGGGCCACGTGCGACGACCCAAACACGTGGGAGCAGCAGTTGCCACTCATCGAATTCGCGTACAACAACGCGCCATCCGCCACGACCCAAAAGTCACCGTTTTTCCTGAATTACGGACAAGAACCCACAGTACCCATGACCCCAAATCCCGACAACCCCGTTCCACGTGCACAACAATTCGCCGAGATTTTGCAAGCAGCACGGACCAGGGCAGCAGAAGCAATAAAAAAATCGAACATCATCGCTAAACGTAACGCCGACCGCCACCGAAGACCTGTCACTTATCAGCCCGACGACCTCGTTTTACTCGGCACTCAAAACCTCCGCCTGCCCGTCACTCCAAAACTCCGCCCCCGATACTGTGGGCCATTCCGAATTAGCCACATGATCACACCGGTCACCGCACACCTCCTCCTCCCTGCTGACTGGTACATCAGCCCCTCGTTCCACGTCAGCTTGCTTCGCCCTTACGTACCGTCCACCGGCCAACTCCCACGAAATCGACCATCCAGCATGACACGACCACCATCCGAACCAATCATCACCCCCGATAAGATCCTGAGTCACAGAGTTCGCGACCCCCGCGGAGCTCGAAAGATCGAGTTCCTGATCCGCTGGAAAGATCGAACACCTACCGAGGACAACTGGGTTCCCCTGGACAGAATTGAAAACCACCCCGTCCTCACCGAGTATCTACGCAGCCGAAACTTCAAAGATGTCCACGCACTTTTGTAAAAGGGACCTCCTTAGGGGGGGGGGTAGTGTAAGGAAAATCCCTTTTCCTTACTTCGCATCCCTACTCATCGCGTACATCACTGTAGCACCTCAGTCAGCACCGTTACCACTCGCGACCATCGCATCAACAATCATCCCGCCACTTTCGCACATCGCACCCCAACCTCACGGCTCGGCGGGTAACCCGCGCTCCGGGCCTACGCTTCGACATATTCCCAACCTCAGTCCCAGGCTCGTCGCGCGACAACCACAGTCCATTACCGTTACCACTGTAGTTTCGCTATATATTCTTCGCTCATGCCTTCGCTCATTGTACTCTTGCTTCGATAGTGCAATTCTCGTTCGTTCACTCAATTGCACTCGTAACACCTAGGCATAATATAGCAAGGTTAGCTAGGCCGAGATCGCGGGGTCGCGAGATGGTTGGGTGCAGGTTCGGGGTTGGAAAAACCCGAAAGCGACGCGGTGGTGGTTCGGAAGGCGAGGTCGGCGGGCCGAGCCAGGTTTCCCGAAAGTCGGAGTTGTATGCGTACTGTGTGACCATGGCCCTAGATATCAGACTTTGGTTGGAGTCTGATTCAGAGTCCGTTCATACTTTTTTTTTTTTAAACCTAGTCTGAACTCAAAGAATTTTTTTATGCACCCTGTCTGATTTTTCAGAGTTTTTTTAACTGACTAGTCTGAAATTTCAAAGTAGTCATAGTAGTGCATGTCAGAATGTAATTGTATACATTACTATAACTGCCTGTAGTGTAGACCTAGTGTAGTTATATCGCTTTCATGTTAGGTGGTGCACCCTTTTCCTTCACTATATCTTGTACAACTTTCTATAGTGAAACCCCTCATTTCTCCTTTCAACTTGCTCGATACTCTCCTCCTACTCAACTTACTCGACCTAACTAGCTATGGCTCCTAAGCTTTGCTAGATAACTTTCACATGTTATCAGAGTGACCACAGTTCTTACCTGTGGACCCGCCCATTGATTCCGCTGCTACTCTGTGTTCGGCACGCCCCGTGGCGTGCCCCTTAACCTTTCCTTAGCGGCCCGTCGCCACCCTACGCGGCCCGTCGCCGCCCTTGCGCCGCCCGTACCGGCCCGTCGCCGCCCGTCCCGGCCCGTCGCCGCCCGTGCGCTGCCCGTCCCGGCCCGTCGCCGCCCGTCCCGGCTCGTCGCCGCCCGTGCGCCGCCTGTCCCGGCCCGTCGCCGCCCGTACCAGCCCGTCGCCGCCCTTCGTGGCGTCGCGTGCCGCCCGTACGACGCGCCGCCGTCCGCTGCGGCCCCGTCGCCGCCCGTACCGGCCCGTCGCCGCCCGTACCGGCCCGTCGCCGCCCGTCCCGGCCCGTCGCCGCCCGTGCGCTGTCCGTCCCGGCCCGTCGCCGCCCGTCCCGGCTCGTAGCCGCCCGTGCACCGCTCGTCCCGGCCCCGCGCAGCTGCCCCGGCCCGTCGCCGCCATGCGGTACCCGCCCCGGCCCCATGCCGCCTGTCCCGGCTCTTCGCCGCCCGTGCGCCGCCTGTCCCGGCCCGACACCGTCCTTTGCGGCGTCACGTGCCGCCCCTCCCCGCGGCTCTGCCGCCTTACCTTCGGCCCCGATGCCATCTGCGGCCCCGCCCACTTGCGGCCCCGACCCCGCCCCGGCCATGCCCTGTCACCAGCCGCGGCACACCGGGGGCACGTGCACTGCCCCCCCTCCTTTTCCCGTCACCTGTCGAGGCGACCTGAGGGGGCCGCCTGGAAGGCGTGGGCAGGCGTCGCCCCCTCTGCCGCCTGCTTTGGCGCCCGGGGAGGCCGTGCGTCGCCCCCCCCCCCCCCCCCCCCCCCCCCCTTTTTCCCCCTTCTCCTTCGTCTCCCTGCAGCTGCAAGGAGGAGGGTCTGGGGGTGGCGGGTGTGGGGGTGTTGTGCTTCCCTTCCCCTCCTCCTCCTTTCGTTCCCACTGCTGCAGCTGTTGCTGGGGGGAGGGTGTGAGGGTGTGGGGAGCCGGGGGAGAGGCACTGGGGTGGCGGGTGTGAGACCAACCAGCAGCCGTCCCTCCACCTCTCCTCTCTTCCCCCCCTCTGCTGCTCCTGCAGCAGTGTGTGGGGGAGGGGGAGGGGGAGGGTGAGGGGATGACAAACTAGCTCTATTACCTTGTTTGTTGTTGCTGCTTTCTTTGCACTTGGTGTACCTCTGCAGGAGGTGTACTGCACACGGTTCTTCACTGCAGGCAGTTAAGGGGTGTGTCAGAATGTAATTGTATACATTACTATAACTGCCTGTAGTGTAGACCTAGTGTAGTTATATCGCTTTCATGTTAGGTGGTGCACCCTTTTCCTTCACTATATCTTGTACAACTTTCTATAGTGAAACCCCTCATTTCTCCTTTCAACTTGCTCGATACTCTCCTCCTACTCAACTTACTCGACCTAACTTGCTATGGCTCCTAAGCTTTGCTAGATAACTTTCACAGTGCATGCTGAGCCTCAGACTTGTATCGAGGATCCACTCTGAAACCAGTTATACAGGGGTTTCTGCCAGCCTGAATGAAAGGTTATCGGAACGAAACTTCCTCGAAACTTCTTTTCCTCTGGATGAAACTGCTCGAGTAGGGGCAACAGAATACACTACTTTGTCGACGCTATCACGAGAGTGGAATTTATTGGGAGCTTATAAGAACCCTTAAATTGTGGAACTAGATAGCCAATCACACATGGCCAAAACGATTTTAGCGAATCGCTCATGGCGAAAAGTGAATTGGTGCAAATGAAAGCCTTGTCACATATGAATCTCTTATTCAGCAGAACCGCACATCATTTCCCCTTGCCAAACCGAGTCAAAATCTCGAAGCTGCAACTTTAGGAGAAAATATTCTGCGCACATACGGTGTACACAGTTGAAAACTCTTGCTGCTGCCAGTGCGCCCAGCACAGAAAAGTGCCGAGCTGCCAGGTCATATGATTGTGAGCTTGCCACACTTGGCACTTGCACGAGGCCATTGTCTGATGCCCACACCTCGACCCTGACTGCTCAGTGTTCCTAAGGGCGGGTCAAAAGAGTACGTCCGATTGCGGTTCAAAGAGGTTTAGGCTTGATCCAGAGCGGTCTTATTCAAACACGAGATGGTTGAGTGGGGTTTTCTGCGAAAACGCGCAAAGCTTGACCCGCCCTAACTCTTGAAAAATGACCAATCAGAGTGCCCCATTTCTGGCCGCACAATTGCGTTGGTATGCTGTAATCAGCTTCAATGCTATTATAACTATGCTGTTATGAAACTGCACGAGCATCTTAAAATTTGAAGTAACTCTGACAGTTCAGACAAAAAAAGTTGTGCTTGTCTGAATTTTCAGACTAAAAGAAATAGGTAACTCTGACAGCCTGCCTAGGAAGAGGGGTGTACTCTGTGTCAGAATATTATCTTATTGTTCTAGCCTGTAGTGGGGTGCTCTATAGCGAGTACAACCCTTCTAGGGTTTGCTATTTGTATCCCCATTTCTGCTAGTTCAATCCTCTTTCTTCCTTCAAACTTTAACATGCTATCAGAGCAGGTCGATCCCCTTGGATCGAACCTGTGGGTGGGTTACCACCTCGCTTCCGCTGCTACCTTTCCTCCCCGCCGTGCGCCCCGAGGCGCGCGGCGGTTTTCCTTCCCGCCGTGCGCCCCGAGGCGCGCGGCGGTTTTCTGCCCGCCGTGCGCCCCGTGGCGCGCGGCGGCTCTCTGCCCGCTGTGCGCCCCGAGGCGCGCGGCGGGCGTCTGCCCTACGTCGCGGCCCCGCCCCGACCGTCGCGGCCCCGCCCTCGTCGCGGCCCCGCCCTACGTCGCGGCCCCGCCCTACGTCGCGGCCCCGCCCCGACCGTCGCGGCCCCGCTCTCGTCGCGGCCCCGCCCTACGTCGCGGCCCCGCCCTGCGTCGCGGCCCCGCCCCTCGAAGCGGCCCCGCCCTACGTCGCGGCCCCGCCCCGACCGTCGCGGCCCCGCCCTACGTCGCGGCCCCGCCCTGTGTCGCGGCCCCGCCCCTCGAAGCGGCCCTGCCCCGACCGTCGCGGCCCTGCCCTACGTCGCGGCCCCGCCCTGTGTCGCGGCCCCGCCCCTCGAAGCGGCCCCGCCCTACTTCGCGGCCCCGCCCCTCGTCGCGGCCCCGCCCCTTGTCGCGGGCCCGCCCTCCAACCAGGCCCGTGGTGGGTCCCTTTCACCACCCCGCCTCCCCCCCCCACCCCCCCCCCCCCCCCCCCCCCCCCTCCCCCCCCATTTCCCGTCGTCCGTCGTGGCGACCTGAGGGGGCCGCTTGCTGTGGGGTGGCGGGTATGGGGGTGCTCGGTGTGCCTTCCTCCCTTTGCTCCTCCTCCTCCTTCGTCTCCCACTACTGCAGCTGTCGCTGAGGGGGGTGGTTGTGTGGGAGACTCGGGTTTAGGGTTTAAGGGGGGTGCGTGGGAGTGCAGCTAGCGGTGTAGCAGTGGGTGTGCATCAGGGGGGTGGGACTGTGTGCGGGAGGTTGAGTGGAGGTTGTCAGTTTGTCGTTCGCAGCACCTGTAGTCCGGGGCGCTGTCCCGGTAGCCCAGTCGTAGCCAGCTGTGCCAGCCGCCCGTGGGTCCGTTGCCCGTCCGCCGCTATTTGAGCCGCGGGGCCTGTTACTCCTGTAGTCCGGGCGCTGTCCGGTAGCCGCTGTGCCAGTGTGCCTCCTGTTGCCCGTGTGCCTGCAGCTTCAGCCGTCGCCTCCTATCTCCTCTCCCCTCACTCTCTCTCCTCCTCCTCACTTGCCCGTTGTGACTACCACTAGCTCTGCTCATAATTGTGAACTCTAAACTATCTCTGCTTGAACTTGTGCTCAGAATGTGTGGTGACATTGTGATCCACCCTGAGCTTGTACTACTTTGCCTGCTCTGCTGATTACACCCCACTTTGGCTATGGGGGTGTGTCAGAATATTATCTTATTGTTCTAGCCTGTAGTGGGGTGCTCTATAGCGAGTACAACCCTTCTAGAGTTTGCTATTTGTATCCCCATTTCTGCTAGTTCAATCCTCTTTCTTCCTTCAAACTTTGACACTCTGAGGCGTCAGACTACCTCAAAACGAATCTAGGGGCCTGTGTGTGACCCAGTAAGGAATCCGGAAAATTCCTTACATTACCCCCCACTTTAAGAAAGGTGGTGGATATCCGAAACACCTCGGTGGGCCAGGTAAGCCTCTAAAACCGGGTGTCCCAGTAGTGAATCAGCAACGACATACGTGTCGTCCTCGCTCGTGCGGTCTTTCCAGCGAAGCAGGAGGTTCACCGAGCGGCCGGCGGCAGTCACATCCACGCGATGGTTAAGAATCCTCCAAGGTTCCAGCGTTGGTTCTGCCACGGGGCGAGTGGTCGGCGCGATGGTTGGTCGAGCAACAGCTGGCGACTGCGGCTGGTCGTAATGACGCAACAGGCTGACGTGGAACGCATCATGGATTTTCCAATCATCGGGCAGCAACAGCTTCGCGGTGACAGGTGTCACCATCTGGATGATACGGAATGGTCCCACGTATCGGGGCCGTAATTTCGCGGGCTGCGGCAGCCAAAGATTCTTGGTGTCCAGGAGCACAACCTGCCCTGCGCAGAAGGGTAAATTTCGTCGGTGTTTATCCGCCTGGCGACTAGACGTGGTATTGGCTTTGCGAATGAAATCGGCTGCTTTCGTTCGGGCGGTTTGCAGTTCCGTGACAAACTGCTGCGATCTTGGTACCGGGTTGTCCACAGTCCTTGAAGAGGGTACCACGGGGTCTATCCCGTAATTCAGGAAGAAAGATGATTGTTTAGTCGTGGCCGACGGGGCGTTGTTGTACGCGAATTCCAGCATCGGTAGTGAATCTTCCCACTTGCGAATGTCGGGGCAGTTGGTGCGAATCAGCTGTTCCATGGTCTGATTTGTCCGTTCCGTCTGTCCGTCGGTTTGCAGGTGGTATGACGACGAAAACTGTAGTCGGGTACCGTACTGTGCCCACGTTTCCTGCCAGAACTTCGACGTAAATTTCGGGTCACGATCGCTGATGATCGCCGAAGGTAACCCGTGCAGGCGTACGACGGTGGAGATGAACAGTTTGGCTGTATCTTCGGCTGTGATCGTCGTTCGACATGGGGCGAAATGCGCCATCTTCGTTAGGCGATCGACGACGACCAAGACCGAGTCGTTGCCATTCGTGCCAGCTGGGAGCCCCGTGACGAAATCCATCGTCACCTGTTGCCACGGTCGTTCGGGTGGCGCGAGGGGTTGCAGTAGGCCGGCTGGCCTTTGTTGCGACGACTTCATTGCTTGGCAAGTCGGGCAGGTTGACACGTAGCGTTGTACATCGGTCTGCATGTCCGGCCAGAAATAATTCCGCTGCAGCAGCTTCAGTGTCTTGTCGGTGCAGAAATGCCCGGAGAGGTTAGAGTCGTGGACCTCCTGCGTCAGCAGCTCCCGTAAAGGCTGGTATGCTGGTACCCAAATCCGGTTCGTACCGGCTTTTAGGTAGTATTTGCCGTGCGGTGTAGCAGCCTGTTGTTGCTGGGTTCCGAAAAAACCGGTCGATCTTATTGCCGTGGGTGAATAGTCCTGTTAGCATCGGGTTGGTGTGGGCGATTAGTACCGCCGCGTTTTGCATGGATGGTCGGGTAAGGGCGTCGGCGATGTTGTTGGCGCCCTTTTTGTACGTGATGTTGTACCGGAAATTGGACTCGAGGAAGTCCAACCACCGGATTTGTCGCGGGTTGAGTGTCGGTTGCGTGCGCATGTACTGTAGCGATTTATGATCGGTCCGAATCGTCACGTCGGCTCCTGTGAGGTAGCAGCGCCAGACGCGGAATGCATGGACGATGGCCAGCATTTCTTTGTCGTGGACTGGGTAGTTGCGCTCAGGTGGCTGCATCTTGCGTGACTCGTAGGCGATGGGTTGCAGTCCTTGGCCGAAGTCCTGTAGCAGGACAGCGCCGACGGCGAAATCGCTGGCGTCCGTGACGACTTCGAACGGTCGAGATGGATCGGCGAGGCGGAGTACCGGGGGTGAACCCAAAATGTTTTTGAGAGCGTCGAAGGCGGATTGGTCCCTCTCCCCCCACCTGAAATCACTGTCGTGGTGCAGCAGGTCGGTCAGCGGCTTGGTGATCCCTGCCATATTGGGCACAAAACGACGAACGTAGTTAACAAACCCCAGAAAACTCTGTAACTCAGGGATATTAGTAGGCGGCTTCCACTTAACGATGGCGTCCACCTTACGCGGGTCGATTTTAATCCCGTCGCCAGAGACCACATGCCCCAAAAAATCTAATTCCGGCTTCAGGAACTCGCACTTAGACCCCTTTCTAATTAGCCGATGCCCCTGTAAACGCCGGAACACCTCCTCTAAATCCCGCAGATGGTCCTCTTTTGTCGCGCTGTACACCAGGATGTCGTCCAGGTACACGATGACTTTCTTGTCCAGCATGTCTCGGAAAATTCCATTCATGGTGAGCTGGAACGTCGAGGGCGCGTTTTTCAGGCCGAACGACATTACTGTGAACTCGTAACTGCCGTAGCGTGTGCGAAAAGCGGTCTTCGGGCAGTCTCCGCGAAGTTGATCCAGCAGATCGTCGGTTCGCGGGATCGGGTAACGCGACTTTATAGTGACCCGATTCAGCGCCCGATAATCGATGCACATGCGGAGGCTACCATCCTTCTTCGGCGTGAACAGTATTGGTGCTGCATACGGCGACGTGCTGGGCCGGATGAATCCCTTGGCGAGCAGGTAATCGAGCTGGGCCCGCAACTCGGCGAGTTCTGGTTGACTGAGCCGCCACTGTGTCCGCACAGTAGGTTGCACGCCGGGCTCTAGCTGGATCCGATGATCCTCAGGTCGTTGGGGGGGCAAACCATTCGGGAGGTCATCCGCGAAAATTTCGGGATACTTCCGAATAATGCTCGCCAGTTCCTCGGGGACTGCCGCGCAGAGGGTGTCGATGTCCGCGATTTTTTCGGAAGCTGCCACTTCGTACAGGTGCACTAAGAAGGCCTGAGCTCCGCTGTTCATCGCACGTTGCATGTTGACCGCGTTGACACGTGTCGTCACCGGCTCCGGCTCCGTCCATTTCGGAAGTGTCGTCTTTCCTCCATATCCTCGCACGACGCACGCCCCAGTCATCCAGTCGATCGTCGGATTGAAGCGCTGCAGCCAATCCCCCCCCAGCAGCACATCGCAGCCGTCCAACGTCGTCGCCAGCATCCTTATGCCAAAACCGAATTTGTCGCCGCACTGTATCCGAATTTTTCGCGCCTCATCTCGGATGGCCAGCGGTGTTCCGTCCACCAACCTTGCATCAATCTCTGGCAGACACCTGGTCAGCTTCACCCCCATTTTTTTGGCCGTTGCCAGGTTGACGAGACTGTGGCTCGCCCCCCCGTCAACGAAAAGTTTAATTTTATAACCGTTAACCCTCCCTACCACCAACACAGGGTAGTCCACGTGTTCACCCACGTTATTCGTCCGGTTCTGGCCGATAGCGCTGATCGGTACCACGACCCAGTGTGGATGGTGATTGTCGGGCGACAGGGTCTCGTCAGTAGGTGGCCCGTCTGCTACTGACTCGTATCTTTTCCCGACCCTTCTCCGTCGTTCTTCTTCCCCTGCTTAAGCCTCGGGCAGTCTTTTTTCAGGTGGCCCAGCTGGTTGCATAAAAAGCACGGCCCAAGGGCTCGGCTAGGTGCATCCACGCCGTTGATCGTGGGCTGCTGAGTCGGTCCACGAAATCGAGGGCCCTCCCGGGAGCTCGATCTCGCCCACTGCATCAGCGCATCCGTTGACTCGGCTTCCCGGACGGCGTCGTTGAAGCTGCGTGGTCGGGTTCGTCGGACCTCGTACTGTATCTCATATTTCAGGCCCGCCACGTATCGATCCAACCGCTCCGCGTCGCTCATGTCGTCCACCTGGTCCGCCAAGTTGCAGAATTTGCTGGTGTAGTCTTGGACTGAAGTCAGCTGCTTCCAGGTACGCAGCTGCATGCGAGCAGAGTCCGAGGCGGATATGTGCTCGAATCTGGGTCGCAAGGCGGCGCCCCACTCCTTCCATGTGCGTATCGTGGCCGTCCCGAAAATTGATGCTGCCTGATGCGTGACAGGTGTTGAAGTCCCGTCGTTCGCATGTGCTGTTCCTGCCGAAGTCCCTTCGTGTTGCAGCGTTCGCCTCCACCACTCGAGTGCAGGTCCTTGTAATAGTGAAACTGCGAAATTAATGCGGGTGGCGTCATCGTAAATCATAGCAGCATTAAAGAACACCTCCACTCCGAACAACCATGCAGAAACAGTGACAAACTTGTCACTCGGGTTAAACGGGGGCGGGTTTGTCGGCTTGATTTTCACAAAAGCCGTTGCTGCCATCAGGGCCGTTGGCATTACTGCTGGCGTCGCCGTCGTCGTCACTGCTGCACGTGGTGGTACTGCACGTGACTGTTGTGGCGACTGTTCCTGCTGCGCCTGCCGCGCTTTGTCCGCATCCATCTCGCCTTCCAGCTCGCTCCAGACCCGCTCATCTGGTGTAGTGCTGCTACTTGCATCGTCCACGACAGGCGACTCCTGGCGCGCTTCACCACGCGCTTGGTGTAGTTCGGCATTTTCCTTCCGTAGACGCTCCATCCCTGCAGTCATACCCTGCAAGTTGGCCTGCATCGCACAGAACTGTTGCATGAACTCGTTGAACTCGGCCTGCTCCATGTGCCTCATGCTTCGTCGAACGGGCAGGGGGTGGCTCGCGATTTTTCTGACTTCAGTGAAGGCGTTAATGCTATCGTAGTCAGAGTGGAATAATCAGATCTATTCCACGGGTCGACCGCTTAACAGCCCACCAAGTCTATCGCTCCCCTTCTACAAACTACCCCGGAAACGCGAGGGTAACCTAGGACTTTAGGCTCTGATACCAAGTGTTATAAGTTGTGAAAGAGAAGAGTGCGCAGAACTCAATAATGCGGAAGTGATTACAACATCTGAACGAACAACGAGGCCTAGGCATAACATAGCAAGGTTAGCTAGGCCGAGATCGCGGGGTCGCGAGATGGTTGGGTGCAGGTTCGGGGTTGGAAAAACCCGAAAGCGACGCGGTGGTGGTTCGGAAGGCGAGGTCGGCGGGCCAAGCCAGGTTTCCCGAAAGTCGGAGTTGTACGCGTACTGTGTGTCCCATTAAGGAATCCAGAAAATTCCTTACACCGAGCCTCTCTGGTTACCAAATGACGCCCCGCAAAACTGCAGAGAGTCGTAAGCCCAAAATTGGTTGGCGAGAGTCCCAACCGCTCTCTCCTGAAGGGAGTAGGGCAAGGCAAGCTGTGTACAGTTTGGAAATTGTTGTAATTCAGGTCATGCTCGACCACATAGTAGTCACGTGAAACTCCTAGGTAGAGCAGAAAACCAATAGAGCTGGAGCCCAATCCACCGGAAAAAAAAGAAAACACCAAATAGATTCTATGCGATGGCGCCGCTTTTTACTCAGCGTCGTCGTCGAAACCCTGCGCGACCGCGCAAACGACAGTTTGCGGCGCATGCATCTCCTCTCCGAGCTCGATAATAGGTAATCAAACGGTCGATCGCGGTCATTTCCCGCGCATTCGCCCTATGTTTGCCTCAGCTACATTCCCCTCCCGCGCTTCCTAGTCGATGTCACACCCTGCCACCCACGCTTCCCCTCGTCGCCGTCGCTGTCCCCCACGCTTCCCCCCACCGTCGCCCTCGCTTCCTCCCGCTGTCGCTCACACTTTACTCCGCCGTTGACCACGCTCCCCCTCCTGTCGCTTTCGCTTCCTCCCACCGTCGCCCTTGCTTCCTCCCACCGTCGCCTTCGCTTCCTCCAACCGTCGCTTTCGCTTCCTCCCACCGTCGCCCTCGCTTCCTCCCACCGTCGCCCTCGCTTCCTCCCACCGTCGCCCTCGCTTCCTCCCACCGTCGCCCTCGCTTCCTCCCACCCTCCCCTACACTCCGCCGTCGTCATCACTTCCCTGCCTATCACGTTCACCCTCTTCGTCACACGTCGCCTCTCTCTCTCCCCCTATTCTACCTTCACCACTCCTACCGTCATCCATGGTCACCACCCCACACTTGAACCCTTCTCATTCTCTCACATTCTCCCTTCTCCCTTGCTTCTCGCCCACACTAAACGCAGAGATGTATGGCGCCTGGGCGCTGGGTATGGGGTCGTGAATTGCTCACTGTGGGGTGTGTGAGGGTGAGTGGTGCGAAGGCTAGGGGAGAATGAAAGCTGATGGGGTGCGAGTCGAGGAGCATGCACCCTGCCCCTCACGCTGTGTCACTCACAACCCAATGGCAGCACAGCAAGCTTAGCAACCTCCTCCTCACTCTCGCACCAACCCCACACACAGCCGGGGAAGCTCGTGCAGGCGGGCAGTGAGGAGCGCTGTGCACAAGGGGGCGAGGGGGTGGGGCAAGGGAGCGGGGGAGGTGTGGCAGGGGAGTGAGGGAGGGGGGAGTGGGGGAGGCGGGGCAGGGGAGTTGGGGAGGAGGGCAGGGGAGTGGGGGAGGGGGGGCAAGAAGCCGTCCCGTCTTCCTCCTCTTCCTCTTATTTGCCTTCTCCTATCCGTCCTTCCACTCTCCATGCCTCCCGCCTCACCCTATTCTGCCCCACCCCATTCCGCCATGCCATCCTACTCCTCATCCCCATTCCCTCGTTTCCCCATCCCATCATTCCCTCAGCCAACTTTACCATCCCACCATACGGTCATACCCCATCCCGCGACCTCCCCGTCACCTCCACCCGACCCCTCTCCTCCCTGCTTCTTCCCATCTTCCCATCTTCCGCCTCGCCATAAGGTTTGTTCTTCACCACCTCTGCTATCCATCCTTTCTATACCCATCCCTGTTGAGTGAACGCCGACGCCCTGCCCTGTCTACAAGTATGGTCTATGCCTAGTACTTAGCGTGATATCTCAAACTGTGCACAGTTTGCTGTGCTCGCGCTTTTCTGGTTGTGGGAAGGACCCCACCCATCATGGGAAGCGAGAAACTTTTTTCGCAAATTGGTTTCGCGAGTGAAAGTCTCTCGCAACCCAACCTAACCTCTCTGTGCCTGCCTCCCGAACCTAGTTTTTAGCGTTGACTTCCGTTGAGTAATTCAGGTCTTGGGCTTTAACTAGTAGAAATTTCAGCTGCGATGTGCGGAGTTAAAGCCCAAGCCTACAGTTGACTTCTCGAGCCTCTCTAGTTACCAAATGACGCCCCGCAAAACTGCAGAGAGTCGTAAGCCCAAAATTGGTTGGCGAGAGTCCCAACCGCTCCCTCCTGAAGGGAGTAGGGCAAGGCAAGCTGTGTACAGATTGGAAATTGTTGTAATTCAGGTCATGCTCGACCACATAGTAGTCATGTGAAACTCCTAGGTAGAGCAGAAAGCCAATAGAGCTGGAGCCCAATCCACCGGAAAAAAAAAAAAAAAAAAAAAAAAAAAACATCAAACAGATTCTATGCGATGGCGCCGCTTTTTACTCAACGTCGTCGTCGAAACCCTGCGCGACCGCGCAAGCGACAGTTTGCGGCGCATGCATCTCCTCTCCGAGCTCGATAATAGGTAATCAAACGGTCGATCGCGGTCATTTCCCGCGCATTCGCCCTATGTTTGCCTCAGCTACATTCCCCTCCCGCGCTTCCTAGTCGACGTCACACCCTGCCACCCACGCTTCCCCTCGTCGCCGTCGCCGTCCCCCACGCTCCCCCCCACCGTCGCCCTCGCTTCCTCCCGCTGTCGCTCACACTTTACTCCGTCGTTGACCACGCTCCCCCTCCCGTCGCTTTCGCTTCCTCCCACCGTCGCCCTCGCTTCCTCCCACCGCCGCCCTTGCTTCCTCCCACCGTCGCCTTCGCTTCCTCCAACCGTCGCTTTTGCTTCCTCCCACCGTCGCCCTCGCTTCCTCCCACCGTCGCCCTCGCTTCCTCCCACCGTCGCCCTCGCTTCCTCCCACCGTCGCCCTCGCTTCCTCCCACCGTCGCCCTCGCTTCCTCCCACCGTCGCCCTCGTTTCCTCCCACCCTCCCCTACACTCCGCCGTCGTCATCACTTCCCTGCCTATCACGCTCAACCTCTTCGTCACACGTCGCCTCTCTCTCTCCCCCTATTCTACCTTCACCACTCCTACCATCGTCCATGGTTACCACCCCACACTTGAACCCTTCTCATTCTCTCACATTCTCCCTTCTCCCTTGCTTCTCGCCTACACTAAACGCAGAGATGTATGGCGCCTGGGCGCTGGGTATGGGGTCGTGAATTGTTCGCTGTGGGGTGTGTGAGGGTGCGTGGTGCGAAGGCTAGGGGAGAATGAAAGCTGATGGGGTGCGAGTCGAGGATCATGCACCCTGTCCCTCACGCTGTGTCACTCACAACCCAATGGCAGCACAGCAAGCTTAGCAACCTCCTCCTCACTCTCGCACCAACCCTGCACACAGCCGGGGAAGCTCGTGCAGGCGGGCAGTGAGGAGCGCTGTGCACAAGGGGGCGAGGGGGTGGGGCAAGGGAGCGGTGGAGGCGTGGCAGGGGAGTGAGGGAGGGGGGAGTGGGGGAGGCGGGGCAGGGGAGTTGGGGAGGGGGGCAGTGGAGTGGGGGAGGGGGGGGCAGGAAGCCGTCCCGTCTTCCTCCTCTTCCTCTTATTTGCCTTCTCCTGTCCGTCCTTCCACTCTCCATGCCTCCCTCCTCTCTTTCTCTCTCTTTCCCTCCTTCACTTCTCCCGTCCGCCCGTGCTCCCAGCCTCCCTCCTCTGTACCACTCTCCCAACCACTCTTTCTTTCATCCTCCTGCCTCTCTTCCACCCTGCCACTCTTCTTTTGAGACTGCCACCTTCCGAGCTTCTTTTAGTCCACCTTTCCGTCTCACCCACTTGTCCTCTCCCAACTTGATCCTCACATCCTCCCATCCCCCCTTCTCCCCTTCCACCCTCCAACCCTTGCGCTCATCCTCCCTTCGTCTCACCCTCCTTTTTTCTCATCCTCCCATCCTCCCTCTCTTCCCTCCCCCCTCCCTTCCTCCTGTCCTCCCTTCCTCCCTTCCTTTCTTCCTCTCTTCCACCCTCTGCCCTACTCTCTGCTTCAGTGTCTTTCTCCCCTCTCTTTCCCCTTTCCTCCCTCCCTTCATCTCATCCTCTCTTCCGCCCTTCCTCCTTGTCTCCCTTGCTCATTTCTCCCTCCTCATATTCCCTGTTCCCTGCGTCCCTCGCTGCCATCCTCCCTTCCTCTCAGCCTCCTCACTTCCTCTCGTCAACCATTCCTCCGCACCCTTCTACCCTGCCACGCCTATACACTCCTACCTTATTCTAGGGGCTTGTTTCTTGTTGCCTGCCTTCCCTTGCATTGTCATTGTTTTGTATCCTTCCCCGCTGCTTCGACTCTTGGCACATTAGATTTTGTGGTTCGTGTCTGTGCAGGTCTGCCATGTATCTAGCTGTGATGCCTTCACTCTTTGATGATAGTGGTATGACAAATAGCCATGCCATGTATGTTGGATGCTTCTCATGATACAACACTTTGGGCCTCGGAGCAGCCATGTACGTGAGCACGACAATGAAATGCAACAAAGCAAGAGATTTTCTTCCTTACAGTTGTCGCCAGTGGACTACAGGCACAATGCACAAATCTGGAAGGTGGTAACTTTCCATCCCACTCCTGTTGGGACCCATGGTGCTGGGCACCTGTACAAGCATGGTTCTGTGATAGAACGGGGAGGGAAGAGTGGGTATGGCGAATAAGCAAGGGCTGGAGGTTGGAGGTACAGAAGGGCATGTATAGCTGTGGAGCGAAAGGCAGTGCGGATGGTGGTGGTGGTGCTGCTGCTCGGGCTGTTGCTGTTGCTCTAGGAGTTACAACTGCTGCTACTTCTGCTGCGCCAGCTGCGTGCCTTTCTCCCTCACCCTCCTCCTCCTCCTCCTCCTCCTGCTGCCGTGTTAAGAGCGGCTCCCTCAGCACGTCCCCAGCACCGCCATCACTCGCAGATGCGGGCACATGGGGTCCCTTGCGCGCCGAGTCAGAGGAGGCACCTTGCGCAGAGGGGCGTCGCGAGGAGCAGCGCTGTGACGCTGGTGCCAGGGAGGCTGCCAGACCCACCGGGCTGCACAGGGCGGACGCGCCAGCAGCACCAGCAGCAGCACTGCCTCCGGCACCTGTGCCTGCAGCTGGAGAAACGGGAGCAGTGGCGGCAGCAGGAGCAGCAGGCGCAGCAGTGAGAGCGAGTGCAGGAGGCGGGGGCGAGGCGCCAATGGTGAAGGCAGGAGAGGGCGGGGAGAAGGTGGATTGAGAGAACACCAGTCTGGCCCTTGCAGGCGCCAGCGCGACCGCCGAGTCAGAGGAGGGGGGGATAGAGCCGGGCGGAGGGTTACCCTCCCGTGCTGCTAGAAATCCCCCCCTGCTGCTGACCGCCCATGGGGCTGCTGCTGCCCCCCATGCCTTGCACTGCAAGGAACGCACCCGACGACGCACCACCGGCGCCCATGCTGCTGCTCCCCTCCGTCGCCCAGTACGCTCCCGAGGCACCCTCCATCACACCACCATCACCCGTGCCCATGCCTACGAGCAAGGGCATGGCTAGCGCACCTCCCACTCCCCCTCCCCCTCCCCCTCCGCCTCCTCCTCCGCCTCCTCCTCCGCCTCTCAGCGAGGGAGCTGACGCGGCTGATGTCTGACAGCAGAGAGTCGTAGCTCTCACTCCGCTCCAACAATCCCCGCCCCCCCCCCCCCCCCCCCCCCCCCCCCCCCCCCCCCCCCGCGTGCCCTCCCTCTCCCCCTCCCTCCCCCGCCTGTCCCCCCCCAGACGCGCCTCGTCCTCAGGGAAGCTGCCCAGCATCACTGCCCGCTCCTCCCTCCCCAAGCTCCGCGCGGGGGAAGCGAAGGCTCCGCGCGGGGAAGCGAAGGCTCCGCGCGGTGAAGCGAAGGCTCCGCGCGGGGGAAGCGAAGGCTCCGTGCGGGGGAAGCGAAGGCTCCGCGCAGGGGAAGCGAAGGCTCCGCGCGGGGGAAGCAAAGGCGACACGCGGGAAAATCGAAGGCGACGGGGGGGAGAAGCGAAGGCGACGGGCGGGATAAGAGAAGGCAACGGTCATTCGAAAGCGAAGGCGGCGACGGGCGGGGGAAGCGAAGGCGACGGGATGGGGCCGCGAATGCGATGGGCTGCGGAAGCGAAGGCGACGACGTGGGCGATGGACAGAGGAAGCGTGGGACCCGGGTGAAGGAAAGCGAGGGCGAGGGATGGTTACGCTTGGCCGAACTTGAGGGTTATGCAAAACCTGCATTTTTACACCATATCTCATCGCACGCCGCTCAATATCCTTACGCTTCGAACTCACATTCCGCACCACACACCATCGCATCGCGCCTTGATCGCTCTAGAGTCAACGGCTACGCCCTACCTACACGTATTCTATATTATGCCTAGTTTTAGTCTGCTGCTAGGATTGTCAAAGTGTGCACATTTTGGTAGGCACGCTCAACTCTGGTTGTGGGAAGCACGCCATTCATCACATGTCTTCTTCCAAGTGACACAACTTTGTTGCAAACTGGTTTCGCGAGTGAAAGGGTTTCGCAACCAAACCGAACCTCTTCCGAACCTAGTTTTTTGGCGTTGACTTCCGTTGAGTAATTCAGGTCTTGGGCTTTAATGCGGTGGAAGATCGATTTTCGATGATCGATCGCAGGTTCGGCGTTCAGGTGACACGTCCTGACAATGACGTGACTGTACGCACCAATGAGCACGTTGATACTGCCGTGACTTGTACTTCGATTGAAAAGGTGTCTCAAAATCTTCGGTTCACACTGGATCTAGGCAGTCGACGTGGAGAAGTCCACCAAACCACCACGGACCCGAGCGTGGACCCGCGTGTTTTAACGGCGGAAAAGGAATGTAATGGGGAGTCTAGTCTGGTTCGTCGATCTGGTCCACGTCGGACTCCCGAAAAGTCATGCTTTTCACGAATACTAACGAACTCCCCCCACAAGTGTCGCAAGACTTGGCAGTGCGCGATGGCGGCTTGTCCAATAACAGGAAGCCCTCACGGGTCATTGTAACCTAGTGTTGGGGAAAACAGACCGTTTTCTCGCCTGCACGCCACTGTGGATTTCATCAGCGGACCTGTCCGAAGCTGGCTCGCCAGTTCAGTTCTCACCTGGTCCAGCGGACCAGTCCACGGTTTTGGGGAGCAACATTTCCAAGAGCGGACCGGCTCGCGGACTCCTGTAAGTGAGACACGTCCTGAAATTATGGCGGGCTACTACGGCATAAAAATGTATTAGGGTACATTCCGCTGTGGACACTATCTCAAAGAAAGTGTCCCAATCGTATTTGTTACTAATTGTGACAAAAAAAATCAATGCTCGTGACTAATTTTGATACACCGAAAAGGATGAACAGAAATATGCAACCACTCATGTTACGACATCTCGCAAAGTCGCCACTGTTAATAGTTCGAAGTTTCACAATTAGTGATGAATATGTATCCCGATTAGCCACGAACATTGTTTTCGGCGTATCACAATTAGTCACGAACATTTTGTGCGTACCGTCTGACCCCGGTATAGAGCCTGCTGCTCTAGGTGCTGGTGAGGCTGCTGCTCTAGGTGCTAGTGTGTCTCCTGCTCTAGGTGCTGGTGAGGCTGCTGCTCTAGGTGCTAGTGCGTTCCCTCCTCCAGGTGCTGGTGAGTCTGCTCTCTCTGGTATTGCGCCTGCTAAGGCCGTATACACCTTCACACTGGACTCAGGTGCTTCCCGCTCCTTTTTTCGGGACAGCACCACCCTCACGCCGCTCAGTCGGCCGGTTCCAGTCTCCCTGGCAGACCCCTCTGGGGGTCCAGTCCTTGCGCACTCCTCCACGGTCCTGCTGTGTCCGGCGGTCCCGTCTGGCTCCCTGTCAGGTCTTCACCTCCCCTCGTTCTCTACGAACTTGGTGAGTGGTGCTGACCTCCAGGACCAGTGGGTTGACCAGTTCATGTGAAGAAATGAGGAATGAGAACAGAAGAAGGGAGTTTCACTAGCAGCAGTTGGGATACATATAGCAAATCCTAACTGGGTTGTACCCGCTATAGAGCACCCCACTAAAGGCTAGATAATAACATTCTGACACACCCCCATAGCCAAAGTGGGGTGTAATCAGCACAATGAGCAGGTATAGCAGGAGTTCACAATAATAAGCAAAGCTAGAGGTAATCACAGCGGGCAAGTGAGGAGGAGGAGGAACTGTGGAAGGAGAGAAGATGGGAGGCAACGACTGAAGCTGCAGAGGCATGGGCACAGGAGCGGTTGACTCAGTGGCTACCGAAGCAAGGGCGACGGACTACTGGAGTAACTGGCTCCGCGGCTAAGACAAGCGGCACGAGCAACGGACCCACTGGCGACTGGTGCAACAGGCTCACTGGCTACCGAAGCAAGGGCGATGGACTACAGGCGCTGCAGGTGACACGACAGCTACCTTCACACAACCTCCTCCAACTGACCCACACCTTTGACACACACCCCCTGCTGAACCCCTAACTCCACTCCCACGTCACCCCCCTAGCGCCATTCCCCTCGGCTCCCACACCTCCACCCCCCTCAGCAGCAGCTGCAGCAGTGGGAGACGAACAAGGAGGTGGGGAGAGGGAAGGGGGGTACCCACACTGCGCACCCCGATGCTCGCCACCCCACACCCCCCACCACCTCGGAATGCACGGCGGCACGGGAGGAATGGGCAGCACGGGGGGGGGGGGGGGGGGGGGGGGGGGGGGGGGGACAGTACAAGAGGGGCCGCGCGTCTCTCCTTAGGGCGCCAAAACGGACGGGCTGGGGGGCACGCGCGGCTCCCCAGGGCGCCGTGACGGACGGGCGGGGGGCGCGCGCGGCTCCCCAGGGCGCCGCGACGGACGGGCGGGGGGCGCACGCGGCTCCCCAGGGCGCCGCGACAAGAAGGGCGGGGGCCGCGCGTGTTCCCCAGGGCGCCGCGACGAGCAGGGCGGGGGCCGCGCGCGGGTCCCCAAGGCCGCGCGACGGGGCTGCGAAGGGCGGCGACGGGGCCACACAGGGCGGGACGGGGCCGCGAAGGGCGGCGACGGGGCCGCAGTGGGCGGCTACGGGGCCGTGAAGGGCGGCGACGGGGCCGCAACGGGCGGCGACGGGGCCGCAATGGGCGGCTACGGGGCCGCGAAGGGCGGGGCGCTGCGCGCGGGTCCCCCACGGCAGGAAACCGCCGCGCGCCTTGGGGTGCACGGCGGGCAGAAAACCGCCGCGCGCCCCGAGCGCACGGCGGACAGAAAACCCTAAAAAAAATTTGCACGCCAGGGGGCGTGCAACAGACAGAGTAGCAGCGGAAGCAGTTAGGTGGTGGGCCCATCCACAGGATCGACCCAAGGGGGTCGACCTGCTCTGATACCATCTGAAGAAATGAGGAATGAGAATAGAAGAAGGGAGTTTCACTAGCAGCACTTGGGATACATATAGCAAACCCTAACTGGGTTGTACCTGCTATAGAGCACCCCACTACAGGCTAGATAATAACATTCTGACAGTTCACTCCTGGAGGTCAGCGCGTGACCCACTGTACGTGCTCCCGGACGGGCCGGCACCTGGCCACGTTTACCCGTGCGCCTGGCTCGAGTATGTACACACTGACTACTGTGTCCCCTCAGGTCGCTGCGTCTGCGTCTGCGTCAGGTCAGCTAGCGACCCCCTGCTCGTGTCGCGCATTGTCGCACCAGACCCTCCTTTGGCACCACCGTCTTGGTCACCCCTCGATGCAGTGCCTTCGTAGCATGCACCGCCGTGTCCTTGTCTCTGGTCTTCCCAGGGTTCTCCCTCCCATCCCACCCTCGCCTGCTCCTCCCTGTCTTCCCTGTGTCGAGGGGCGGCAGCGCGCCGCTCCTCACTCCTCCTTGTTTCCCCCGACGACTGCTCCCCTACAGACCCTGCACATGGACGTGTGGGGCCCAGCCCGCGTCAGTGGGCAGGACTGCGAGCAGTAATTCCAACTGGTTGTTGACGGCTACTCGCGTTACACCACGGTCTTCCCCTTGCGCACCAAGGGGGAGGTCCCTGGTGTTTTGATCTCTTGGATCCGCATTGCCCGTCTCCAGCTCCGCGAGCGGTTCGGGACGGAGTTTCCCGTCCTGCGTGGGGAGTTTTCCTCCGACCTTCTGTAGAGCTTTTGTCGTGGGGAGGGCATTCGCCAGACGTTCACGCTTCCGGCCTCTCCGCAGCAGAATGGGGTTGCTGAGAGCCACATTGGCTTGGTCATGGAGGTTGCTCGTACCTCCATGGTCCATGCGGCTGCCCCCCATTTT